CTCTATCCAGTCCGAATTATTTTCAATCAAAGAGGTTTGTAAATATTTAACTAATTCTTGAAGATTAAGCTCATTGGCAGCAACTAAGATTTTAATAATACCATCTAAAGTATCATATTCTTCAAAAAGAAATTTTCCTCCATAAATATACCTAAATAAAAAAATTTTTTTAATAATCAAATTAATAAAAGCAAGATAATAATAATTTAAGTTTCTAACCTTAAAATTGATTGAAAAATTTCTGGTGAAATAGTTGGTAATTTAATATGTGATAAAGTTCCATCATTTTTCCTTTCATTTTTTGATAAAATTCTTCGTAAATAAGAAGAACGATAGTTTAAAATAACCATATGAGCTCGAAATATTTTCACGTTAGGATCACTACCAACTTCAATTGTAATATCATAATATTCTTCATCGTTCAAAATTTCAAGTAAATTTTGGGATAATTCTGATAAAAATTTATTATCGCTCATTGTAAAATTTTTTTTTATAAAAAAAATTCTAAAAGTGCTAATCATGTGATTGGTAAACTTTAAATATTTGTTTTCTGAATCGGGAAATCAAGAATTGGCAAATCATTATTTGTTAATTCTGGTCGGTAATACTAAATTACTATAATTGGAAAAAGAAATTAGTCACCTTTGCGGCCAACATTCATAATTCATTGCAGTAAAAATAATTTAAGAGTGATAGCCTATTTATAAATTATAATTTTGCATGTATTCGACACATTTCTTTACATATCGCAAACTTAATATGATTTATTCCCATTTAGGTAAGCACGTGTTATACTTGTAATATTAAAATAGTAAAGTAATAAAGCTTACTACGTTATTTGATTTTGTCGAAGATCCCAAATAAAAAAATGTAATATAATTCGATGGCGAATAATTTGATTTTTAATTATTTGATCATTTTTATAAAAATTACACAATATATAACGGCAAATTCTTTTATCTCTGGTTATATTAGAGAGAATATGAAACTACCATTGTAACCAAATTTTTATATTGAAAAATATCTTCCGAAAATTCTGCTTTTGATGATCACAAATTTCGAACGATCATGAGATCGAAGAATAATACCCAACTAATTTAAAATTGAACAAATAATGCCGATTTACAGTACAATATATTATTAAATAAGTTCATTTTTTAGGTCATTATAAATATATCTTTAATTTATTTTTACAATTTCTATATTACAAATGAATATTTCCAATCTGGTAATTTGTGACAAACTCTTGGAAGAATGTTAACCGTCTATTTTTTAATAATTTGAAAAACTTCATATTCCTCCACAGAAAACCGATTTTCGGTTTTTCTTATTGGTTCATAAGAACGTTTTCTACAATAACTCTTTTCATAAAAATCATCACCATATATGGCAAGGTCTTCACCATATTCACCAAATAATGGACCGCAATTACGTACATTAAATATAGCATATTGTTCATTCTTCACACGACTTAATATATGTTTTTCGACGCTATCAACACTCTCAAAAGAGAATATAAAACTATTATTAGTAACGCCATAAACACGTTCGTCATGTTTCCATTCAATTGGATTATAGCCTCCAAGAATTTCGTTACTATTCTTCACTTTAATGACCGATACAGTGCGAGATTGGTCATCACAAATCTCATGGAATTTACTAGGTGAAAACCCATCACGAGAACCACGAAGTATTAATTTGAATTCATACGAAGAAGTCAACTTATCTGTAGTACTTAATTTGTCAACCCATTTCGAGATTAATTCAGCATGTTGAAACGTAATGACTTTTGAATCAACATTTTTTTGTTTGTGAAAATTACGAGGTTTCAATTTATCGATTGGCTTGCTGTCAGGATGTAAACTTAAATAAGTTCTAAATAAATCCACAAATAATTCCTCCGGTAGAATTTCCCTATAAGGTATTACCGAATCTAAAATTTCTTTTGAAGTTAAATTATAAAATCTAATA